GTCGACAGTGGTCTGCCATTTGAGGCAACTGCTGGCAGTGAGATGCCGTTTTGAGTCAACTGCTGCTTCCAGAATTTTGTTGTCTGGTTGTTTATCATCTCTGGGAAGGCAACTTGGAGCCTTTCCAGTGTCTTTCTTTGTTTTAGATGGCTCACCTTCATTCATTTTGTGAGCAGTGGACTGGTTTTCAAAGACCACATGGATTGATTCTACTACAACCAGAGTTCTTTTGTGGAGGATTCAGAATGCCTTGCTTGTAGCTGAGTAGCCCAGGAAGATCCCTTCATCAGATTTGGGATCAAATGGCTTGAGATAATCTTTTCCATTGTTTAGAATGAAACATTTGCATCCAAACGTATGGAAATGACTAACATTTGGCTTCCTTTCCTTCCATAGTTCATATGGTGTCTTTTTGTGAGTCTTATGAATAAGACTTCTGTTCTGGGTGTAGCAGACGTTGTTGATTGCTTCTGCCCAAAATATTTTGGGCAACCGTGCTGCTTCTAGAATAGTTCTTCCTGCTTCCTTGAGAGTTTTGTTCCTTCTCTCAGCAACACCATTTTGTTGAGGTGCTCTTACTGCTGAGGTTTGGTGATGGATTCCATTTTCTTCACAGTACTGAATTATTACAGAGTTCAGAAATTCAGTACCTCTGTCTGACCTGATCTTCGGTATTGAAATACTTTTCTCATTCTGGATCAGTTTCATCAATTCAGGGATCTTGCTTTCTGTCTCATTCTTCTTCTTGAGGAATAGAGTCCAAGTGTATCTGGAGTAATCATCAACTATAACTAAGGTGTACCTTCTGCCACTTAAGCTTGTTGGTTCAACAGGTCCAAACAAGTCAAGATGCAGTAGGCTTAGAGGTTTAGTTGATGATTCTACTTCTTTGGATTTGAATGATACCTTTGTTTGTTTCCCCTTTTGACATGCATCGCATAAGTGGTCCTTCCTGAAGTTGATTTCTGGAAGTCCTTTCACCAATCCTTTTCTGGACAGTTTGTTGATGGTTTTGAAGTTGAGATGACTGAGTTTGTTGTGACATTCCCAACTTAAATTTGAATCTGCCTTTGTTACTAAACAGATCCCTTCCTTTGCTGAGTTCCGATCAACAACATACATGTCCTTTTTCCGCCTACCAGAGAGCACAACTTTATCATTTTTGACATCTTTAATCAAGCAGATGTCTTTGGAGAATGTCACATTATATCCATTGTCACACAGCTAGCTTGTGCTTATGAGATTGAACTTTAAACCCTTAACATAAGATATGTTTTGGATTGTGAGTCCATTGATTGATAAATCTCCAGCTCCTTTGGTTTCTCCTTTCTTTTCCACATTCTCAAAAGTAACTTTGGGTCCTTCTTCAGCAACATAGTTAGACAGTAGCCTCTTGCTTCCTGTCATGTGCTTGGAGCAGCCTGAGTCTATGTACCATATTTGTGAGTCAGCTGCTCCAGCACCTTCTTGTATTCATCAGTTTTGAGCAGTAGCCCACAAGTTAGTGGGCAACTTCCCTTGTACTAGTTTAGGCATCCAGGCCCATCTAGAACCATTTAAATTTAAGCAGATTGGTCTATAGCCATTTGAGGTATTGTAATCATGGGCGCTGGCTACATATTTATTAATCCTTTTCCTCTTGGATGTGGGAAAGGGATTATCTGCTCTTGGAGGGGTCTGCTTAATATTTTGACTGTGGTTGGTCTTATTGATTCGTTGCCAACAGGTTCTTGGGTTTTGATGGTTAGAGAGAGTTTGTTTATACAGGGATTTGGATTTTAATTTGGGAGCATGCTGGTTCCTTCCTTTGGGAATATGTTGGGAATGGGGCAGTTGGGTGGTTAATTTCTTTGGATTTGTTTGTTGACTAGTGGATGGAGAATTTTGATTGAGTCTGGTGGGGGATATGTAGCCGAGACCTATTCTCTTTCTATGTAAAATAACTTCAGCAGTAGGGTCACAAGTTTTACTATTCATGCTGGAGTTATTCATTTTGTTTTTCAGCTCTTTGTTCTCTTCTTCGAAGACTTTATTTTTTGTTAAGGCATCTAACAGCGTAGCATGAGTAGCCTTAATGTCTTGTTTTAATCTATCATTTTCAGAACTCAGGAGAACATGGTGATTTTGGACTTTTTGGAAGTTTTGTAGTAAAGATTCCAGTGTAATATTTGATGGTCCAAAATCACTAGAGCTATAGGAAGAGCAAGATGTTACCTCATCATCATTGAAGTGTTCGTCTGCCATGAAGCATCTGGGTGAGTAGCTTTTCTCACTTTCACTTGTGGAAGTTTCATTGAGCTGCCTGCTGCTTTCTCCAGTGATCCACCTGCTGCCATCTCTAGTAAACTGCCAAGCACCTAGGCAGGAGTAGTGCTTCTTCTGAGCTTTCAGATGAAGAGCTTTCATCACTCGAGCTGCTCTCTTCATCAGTTTGGGATTCCTCCTTCTTTTCACTTACAAAGGCTTGTCTCTTGCCCTTGAAGTCCTTCTTGTATCCACCTTTTTGGGCAGTTGCCCGCTGCCCTTGATATTTATGTGCCAAGGGAAGAGGGCACTCATTCTTATGATGTCCTGGTTGTGTACAGTTGTATCACAGGACTGTATCCTCATTAGTTTGAGGTCTCCCTTGTCTTCTGGAGGGCAGGTTGTATGGCTTCTTTGGGGAAGATCCCTCCTTCTTCATGAATCTTTTGAACTTCCTCACAAACATAGCAAATTGTTCATCTGTGAGGAGGTTGTTGAGGGATTTGTCATTGGATTTTGATGAGCTCGGTTCTGACACGAGAGCCAGTGTCTTTGGTTATTCTTCTTTTTCTGCCTTGATCTCTTTCATCTCAATCTCATAAGCTTTGAGATCACTAAAAAGCTTATTAGTTGAAAGACTCCGGAGATCTCTGCTATCTCTCATAGTAGTTACCTTCATATCCCACTTTATGGGCAGGCCTCTCAAGACCTTTAGAGATATTTCCTTTTGAGATAGCTCTCTCCCTAGGTCAGAGACCTCAGCCACTACTTTCAAAAATCTAGACTCCATCTCATGGATTGATTCATTGGGCAACATTTAAAAGTCCTCAAACGTTTTTAGGGCTATGGTCAGCTTATTGTCCTTCTCTTGTTCATCTCCTGCTCCAATTTTTGTGAGCTCATCCCAGACATCCTTGGCAGTTGCACATTTCCTTATTCTTGAAAATATGGTTTCATCTACTGATTTGAAAAAGATATCTTTGGCTATGTTGTCAGGATTGTTCCTCTTTCTATCTTCAGTGGTCCATTCCATTTTGAGCTTTGGAATGTAAACATCTTCTTGACCTTCTTGCAACCTGGATGATGTTGTGACCTTCATGATTTTGACAGGTCCATTCGTGATTACCTCCAGCATTTCATCATGAAGGGCACTGAGATGTGCCTTCATTCTACTTCCAATCATCAAATTTGTTCAGGTTGAATAAGAGATTCTTGGCAAGCTGACTGTCCATTTTTGGTAAGAAAGTTTTGTGGGGATAAAGTGGGTTGGATCTTTAGTTCGAATTAGCTAGAAACTGACTCTAGGAACCTGGCTCTGATACCACTTGATGGTCTCAGATAGAGGTAAAAGTCTAGAGGGGGGTGAATAGACTTTTAAAGCTTTTTCAACTTTAAAAAGTTTTCCCAACTAGATGAGTTGATCTATAATCTTTTAGGAGATTATAGATTCACAGCGGAAGTCTTAACCTCTATATGAGTATGAACTTTCTACCTTTGGATAAAGATTGGGCTTAAACAGTGAGCAGGTTGCTTAGCAGTTGGCTCGGTAGTTGGGTAAAAGTCAGGGAACTGCTAAGGCAACTGCTAAGGAAATATATAGCTTATGATGAAATTGATTATGGAGTCTTACTGAGGATAATGAGGGTAATCTGAAAATGCATAGAGCTGAGTGAAAATGAAAATGAATGATGAGCAGTGGTCTGCTATAGGAAACTGCCGAGGCACCTGTGGAGGTACCTGCTGACTGAACTGCTTAGTTGCAGGGCAACTGCTGACTAAAAGTTATTGGTGTGTGCTTTGTTGAATGTAAATAAATCAACACACAATATATCCTAGTTCAGAGGTGGTGTAATCCTCCTACGTCCAGTCACACCCTCTTTCAGATGGATTTCCACTAAAGTATTATGCTCAATACACTTAGTGCCCAATCTAGACTTTACAACTGAAATGGCCTATATTGAAAGGTGTTTCACAAGGAGTACACACCACTCCAAGTTACTCAATCCTTAGGTTTTTCTCTATTGATCCGGTGGGGATCAAAAGGTAATCTATCCTATCTAACTACACTTTAGGATTAGAACGACTGTTCTCCTAAGTGTTTACAACAATATATTTTTGTGATTTGTTTCAAGAGTTTCTAACCTCCAACTAGGAACTAAACTTCCAAAATTTAGCAATGATAACTTGTAACTTGGAAGTTTAGTGAAACATGAGTCCAAACAGAAGATAAAGTAAGGTCAGCACTTTCTCCTTTGCTAGATATCTCTTAAATGCTCAATGGGAGTTTTTCTCTACTTAGTATGCTCAAAGCTTGGTTAGAAACTCATGTTACGACCTATATTTATAGGCTTCTCTAGTTGATCAATCTTATCAGTTGGTTAAGATAAGTTGATATGTAGCGTTGAGTGAGTTGTACTTTTGTCTTCATGTGCTGGAGCATTTATTGAGGGTGTCTCCACTTATTGGCCGCTGAGAGATCACTTCAAGATCATTTTGGTGATTTGTTGTACGCGTTCCACGTTCCAGGCTCCATGTACTTGATTTAGCATTAACTGTCTATCAAGTTTTGTCTTCAGTGATTCATATGCAATGAATGTGGTTGTACGTACTTGGCCTTTTCACATTTAATTTTTGTGTCAAATAAATTATGCTGGTAGGATTTTAAATATCTTTTTTAAGGTAAAAAGAATTTTACCTTATTGCATTTTTTATTTCCAGTATAATTTCATTTATCACAAAGATTGTACATTTTGTTTTTTTAATCCCGTAGATAACCACATGCCGTGGTGGGAGTGCCGGGGAACACTACCCTAATTTATTAATAAAAGTTAAAGTTGAGGTTACAAGAAAACAAACGTACAAATGAAAGCAGAAGTGAAAATTTAAAAAAACAGGAAATTAACAGTTGAAGTTCTTAAAGGGGATCCCAACTGTAGATGAAATGGATCTGTTATATCTGTTGTGAAATTGAATTGCCTTTCAGAGATGGTGTTGATAGGTCTTTTCTTCCGGGCGAGAAGATTTGTAACGCTGGAGTGCCGCAGCAAGTTTTTGTGGAGAATCCAGGCTCGCATCTACTAGGTAAATGTAATAGTCGTCTTCATGTTGAGGATATTTGGATTGACTTCTTGTGATCATGGGGTGTGAAGAGTAGCCCACCTCGTAGAAGAGTCCTGGGCCTTCAGGTGTTCCGTTCAGAGGCTTCGTGCAATTGATTTTATTTTTCCTTGTCTTCACCTGTGTAAAGCCATTTTGTTCCTCATTCGGTGGAGGACCTGAAAGAGCAAGATTAGTAATAATAGGGGTGTCCTCAGATAAAATATCATCATCGGACATCGGCGGATCAGGTGTAGTACAATCCATGTGAGTTACAAAAGAGGGATCTGAACTAGGTTCTTCATTTCCCACTTCTGTTTCAGCAGGCGAAACGATTTCAGTATATGGCAAAATATCAACTAGGGCAACAAAGTTTGAGATATGTTCTGTTCCAGGGGCCTTGCAACCAGCCTCAACTAGAACAGATACATCCTCGGCATCAATATCAGTATGCTCGTTATCAATCTGTGCAACAAAATCATGAAGGAGAGCAACTGTGTTATCGTTTTTGAGTGAATCAACTAGGAATGAGGGACTCAAATCAACCTGGGCAACTAGTTCAGAGCAGTTTTGTGAAGTAACCCCATTCTCTATGTTCTCAAAAGGAACACCATTAGTATAGACAGCATAATTGGAGGGTGAGGGATCAGATACTTCTAGACAACCCTGGGCGTTACTCCCATTAACTGTAAGGTCAGCGGCATAAGGAGCAGCAAAACCAGGACGTTGAGCATCAGAAACTAGCACATCCCGCTTCACAGCATGTTCTGTTGCGTCAACATGAGTTGTTAAAGCATTAGTAGTAGGGGTATCTATACCGGGAGCCATTTCATGAGTATCAAAAGGGATTGCCAAACCAGAAAAACCAACAACACTATCTATAACCGGGGCAATCGCAAAAACATCAACAGGGTCACAATCAATTGCAGAAATCAGTGGTTTGAGGCCCAATTTTTTGGAAGCCCAAGGACATCCAGAGATGTTATGGCCGAATCTGGAACAAGATTGACAGAAAGCAGGTATTTTTTCGTAGAGGATGGACTGAAAAAAACCATTTTTTCCATTTCCTATCCAAATTTTATGGGGTAATTCTTGAGATATATCAATTTCAACACAGATTCTTGCTACTGAAGGTCTGGAGAAATTAGCAGTGGGTGCGTCTATTCGTATAGGTTTTCCCAGTAGCTTAGCTATGGAGTTAAGGGCTCTAATGTTATGTAAGTGGGTTGGAAGCCCTTCTAGGGCGACCCAGACAGGTGCAATCGGAGAGTCACGTTCAAAAGAAAAGGACGAAGTCCATCTTGTCACAACCATTTGGGATCCAAAAAAACCCAGGATCCTTTTTCCCAAAAATGATGGAAATCAATGGCTGAACTGAAATTCATCAGAATAGTATTCAATTTCAAAAGACCGATTGAGAAAGTTTTGGAAAATCTTAACGCCTTGAACGCACTGCGAAGCGATTTAAGAGGCAGACGGCTTGAGGGGAAAGTCCCAACAAGGGCAAAACGGAAAGGGGAAGATAGAACCTGTAAATCATCTTCTGAGAAGGAAACCGCTCGGACGTATTTGACAGTTCCGTAGTATCCCAAAGAGCCCGCATCGGAGAAAGAACAGTTTTGTGAGTGTGGGCGCTGGCTTGGGACTGGGTCTCTAACCACCGATGCAAAAGAGAGCTTCTTCTGGCTATCTGGCTATCTGTCACTAACAGACTGGCCCGGTTATCTAAGGGAACTACGGGGTAATTAATTAAATAGATTAGGGGAACACATTTAATGCATCAGATATGAAGGATTTTGTGGTTGAGGGACTTTCCATTCAAGGTGGAGCACATCACCCTCTTCACCTATTACCTTATAGTATAAATATTTTATATTTATTTCATTGTAAAGGGTTAGCAAACTTTCATACTTAGCAATAGACTTATGTCTAGTTCTTTTGTAATCTTCAACGTAGAATAGAAGGTCAGAGATCAACTCGGCAAGAGTGTGCTGTAATCATTCTAAGGGCTTGATAGAACTTGACCCACTTTGTTTATTATCTTCTTGCTCTTGCATCTATCTCATACCTGCTTTATACACTCATTACACAATCCATTAAAGAATCCGACGAACTTTGAACAAAAACTTCCCAAGCAATCTCTTGTGCTAGACAACACTTTCTACAACTCAAAATCAACACCTTGGGAAATATGGTTAGAGAGATCCCAGACTCTGTCTTCCGGTGAACCATCCAACAACAAATGGTCAAACCTTGTCGGGCAAGGAGATCTCACCAACCTGATCTTGCCCGGAAGCTCGCCAAGATCTACGCCTCTTGTGGATACTGACTAGGGAGAGCAAACCCGACCCGACCTGATTGACCAGATTTGATGTATCCGATTTTTTGTTGGGGTCGGAAAACCCGACCCGAAGTACCCAAACCTGATCCGATTCTTGCAACACGATACTTAAGCGAGTAGCGGGTAGGGTTATCGATTATGCTACTCGACCCGCCCGAAAAACCAAACTAACGTAGTATATATACTACCTTGAATTATTATGCATGTTCAAATATTTCAATTATTGTATGTCAATCACCGTATTTGTACAACTATAACTTTGAATGTTGTATTGTTATGACTTTGAATGATATTTTGACCAATTATCATTTTATTTATCACAATATAAAATATGTCAATTACCGTATATTATTATTTTACATGTTCAAATATGTCGATTACTGTATTTATACAACTATTACTTTGAATGTTATACTAGTATAATTTTGAATGATATTTTTATCAATTACCATTTTATTTATCACAATTTCAACAATAAAAAATTAAAATCCGAATGGACCCGAAAACCGTATCAACCTGGCCACAACCTGAATTTCTTCAACCGGAAGCAGTGGCGGACCCAGTAAGGGTCCCACGGGGTCCCGGGACCCCATGGACCTCCAAAAAATACCTATATATATTTGTATATATTTTATATAAAATTAAGTAATCAGTGTATTTATACAATCGAAACTGGTTTAGAACATGAATATAGATCCAGAGTAATGGTTGGAGGTTCAATCTAATAGTTTTACATGTGTAGAGGTCCAAGGATCAATTCCCCTAAGCATCCACTTTTTTGAAAATAAAATTATGGAACAACTTGCCCACCTATTGTTATCATGCATCTCTATTGCCCAACCTGTAATCTAATTTTTTCAACCTATGCCCAATTTTTTTCATAAGAAATAATACTACTATCAACCAGTATGTATCCTCAAATTTCAGCTTATCTTTTTTATAAACTAATTTCTTCATGAAACACGTAATTCTTGAATTCACACACTGAATTTGTAATAATTAAAATAAGCAAGTTAAAAACATTTTTTGGCGAGATGATTAAAGTTACCGTAGACCATCATCTTAGCCACTTTTTTATATGATTTTTTTCATATCTTATAGCATATAATTTAAATATCATTCTTTCCTAATATAGCAGATTCAGTCGCTTGAGCCATAATCGCATAATTTGGCTTGATGTGGTTTGATCTAAGACTAAAATCAATCCAATAACAAAGTCCTTAAAGTTACACAAATAAATTGGTAATTGTATTAAATTAAAATAGAAAAAAGCTAATGAATATATTTTAAATAAAAATCCAAATAAAATAATGCTAAGTAATTGGATCGAAATTTTCAAATGTAGGCTTTTTTTAATTTTGATTTCTCATATGCATGCCCATTTTTTTTAATTGATAGAGGACATTAACTTTATAAAATTTTAGTGCCCGTTTAGTGACTCTGTTTTTCGGCTTATCAGGCTTACCAACAGACTTTTTAACCAAACATGTAACTTTTGATTTTGTGAGCTGAATTGTGTAATAATAAGAAAAATAAAATTGAAGTTACTTTTCAGGCTGTAATGACTGAAGTTGTTGTAGATGACCATTTTATCTATTTTTTCATATCATTTCTTCTTTATTTTATTAATATAATATATTTTAAATTATTTTTTTCATAATCAGCAGAAATAGCCAATACAGTCACTTCAATCAGAACTTCATAAATTTAAGTAGAATCAACCGATTCGGCTGATTTCAGTGTTAACAAACGAGCTCTAATTGATAGTGGACATTTCTTTAAAATTTTGGAATATCTTTAAAATTGTCGTATACGTTAACTATGAAACGTTATGATATTTTAATATTTTACTTCTTATTTTTATTAATTTTTTATTAATTCGAGTTACAATACAGTAGGGACCCCGTGATTCTGAGTTTCTGGATCCGCCACTGACCGGAAGAAACCCAATAAATTTTTTGATAGGGTAGGGATTGATATTATCAATCAGATACCCGAAAGGGTTTGCCATTTTTGAACCCGACCCGTCTGAACCCGACCCGCCTGAACCCTATCTGCCTGAACACGCACGCCCCCGCGCGCGCACCCGCACACACACACGCCCACGTCCCCGTCCACGTCCCCACCCGCGCACACACACACACACACACACACACATATATACATACACACACACACACACACACACACATATATATATATATAGGGGTATTCATGTGCATCCAGCCACACCAGAGGGGTCGTCCGGTTGACGGCTTTTGGCGCCTTCCCGGTTGAATTTTTTGATTCAATTTTTAAGGCATGTTCTTCAACAAGTCTAGTTTATCCACACAAAAAAAAAATCAGCTAACAATTCAATCCGGAAGGTCATCAAATGATTTTATGAAGTTAACTGTGCAAAATTATGCATCAAAAAATTCCACTGGGAAGGCAGTCAAACGCCGTCGGCCAGACGGTGCTTCTCCTGCGGACGGAAGCACCAGAGCAGCCCTCTCGTTCAGACTTCAGATACTAGTCTCCAGCTCCAGTTCATTGTGCCAATCCGGAAGAACTCAGTTGTTTAGGGAAATTGATTTCTCTTATGAACAGTTCATGTGCCAGTGTGCCTTTTGACACGTATGGTTGAAAACCTATAGCTAGGGTGTTACCAAGAAATGGCCAGGTCTGAAGCATTCCTCAAAAGCAGTTTTTACAGGGCCGCTAATTCCATCTACCAAATTTTACCTTTCTGGAATACAGTATGTTTTAGTCATAACCATAACCAATGCCCCACTTGGTACAATACATGTGACTCGGGAAACAAATTCAAATCCTCAACAACTTGTTGATGGTTACTGGTCTGATGTGGTCCAATATGATTATATTAGTGACAAGTAATAAGTTTACTCAGAAAAAAATTAATAAGTTAAAAATAAAAAGTAGAAGAGGTCAAAGCCTATGTCTTCGAACATTCATTGACACTTGATAATTGAGACACTATTTCTTCTTGTGGGTGTAAAGTGTGAAACTGCGAACAATGTAGCGGCAGAAATATTTTGGTGATGGACAAAACACAACACAGCACAATCAAGTATGATAAAGGTATACACTAGTAGTTTGCTTTTGAAAGCAAATTAACTGCAGGCAACTCGCAGATAAGCGATTCAAACTCACATTGGTAATTATGGAAACAACCATCAGAAGATTCTACAGTCTCACCTTTTTGCTCTCCTGCCGATCTCTTTGACAGGTGGGATTCACTGAACATCTTCAATGCATCCTCCACAGCAGAAACAGGCTGTAGAGATTCTTGAAATTTGTGGAACTTCATTCTAATTTCCTCTGTTATCAACCTTTCTTGCAGTTCAGGTGGAAGGCATGCCAGAGTCCTTCATCAATTAGAGAGAGAGAGCTATATCAATTACACATGTTCATTGCAAGAAAATGAAGCCGGTTTCTCTTACTAACCCAATTACGCCTCTGAGCACACCCCATTTGTATCCTATGTATACTGATTCTATAAAACCAGCATTAAACCCTTTCTGTGCTGATGATTCTTTTCCAGCTATAAGGCCATCACGATATCCCATCTAATAATTAACTAGTCAAGATAGAAGTCATAGAACAGCAACTACTTTCGGCTATATACGTCTAATAACTTGGAAAGGATACATTATGGAACTGGTCATGCCTCCTCTTCCACTCCCTTTCCAAATCAGATGCATTGTCTGCTTCTTCAAAAGGATCACCACATGATGGTCCGTCATCGACGTGCCATAAGTCATCCTCATCATCATCTGGCATCAGCAATAAAAAGATTTATGAGAACTAGAATGATAAACTAGGTTATGATGTGGCAAACCTGTGTCACACTTTACACCCACAAGCATAAACAAGGTTTTTGTTAATTCTGAAGCGATAACCTAGATTTATGAGAACTAGATCGATAAACTAGGTTTTGGTGATGGACAAAGCCTAGATCTCATAAATATTTGCATTAATTTTGAAGCGGCGAACCTGTTTCCGCGTGGCTCCCACAATTTCTGACTTTTCGCGTTTATTTTTCTGATGATTCCTAAAAGCCAGAAGTTTTTTCTGACAAGTGACAGTTCAGAGATCCTAGACAGTTTACAATCTTCAACAGAAATGGGATCACAAGGGCTAATAGGAATCGTGTAATCATATGATGATTGTGATTTTGATTACCATGCCTTTACCCATAAGAGGACACAATTTTCATGAAGACCCAGGCAAAGAAATTTTGGGAAGGTGGGATATCTTAAAAGAAATTTCAATGGTCTTGGAATATTTTTTGAAGATAATTTCAATAGTCTTGACCAAATTTGAAGCTTTTTAATTTTTTGGTAGTTGATTGAAGATATCCAAAGGTGAAAGGTAGTGTGAACACTTGGTAAAACAGTTCGGAAAAAATTGCATTCAATAAAACAGTTGGAAAATAACTGTGTAAGGTCGACGATGGCAGGTCGAGTGGTTGAAACAAAAACTGTGTAAGGTTGGTGGTACAAAAGGATGTCCAGGTGATTAGATGAGACAATCACAATAGTTGGAGAGGCCAGATGATCTCATGAAATAAACTCCATTTAAAATCTAACATCTCACACTGTAATGACCATCCAAACAAAAAACTCAAGGATAACCCTTTCTAGAACCATCAACAAGCTAGGAAAAATGAACAGCTTGTAGCATTTAAGTCTGTTACTTCACTTACTTGTTAACAAAATATTGATTTCACATTTTTGCATTAATAAAAGTAATCAGTTTAATGCAAAAGATGATTCGTGTTAATGTCACCTGGACTGAAAGATGAGTGGATATCTACTTTGTCAATCTCAGCTGCTTTCCGATCCTGTTGTCTATTTGAATAAAGTGAAAAGAAAGATTAGAATCTTACTTATACTAGAGAAAAAGAACAAAGGGTTCATTCTTGGTCAGGGTATTGCAGCACCATAAAGACAAGTTTATTTACTGTCTACCTTTATTAGCGAACTAGAATTTAGAATATGTGATCTCATGCTCATTGCAATATAAAAATAAAAATATTTACAAATAGGGGTGGACTCGGGTCCGGGTCGGGTCCGGGCCGGGTCGGCGGTTCAAGAATGGTGGACCCGGGACCGGCCCGGGTAGCCACCGGGTCCGGTCCGGGTCCGGGCCTCCGGTTTGGATTTTTTTTTTTTTTTTTTTGCTTTCCTAACCCCCCCCCTCACCCCCCACCCTCCCAAACCCCCTCAACCCCATCCTACCCATCAAGCCCAACCCGGGTGGAACCCCAAAAATGAAAAAAAAAATTAAAAAAAATCAATTTGGCCCGGGCCCGGGCCCGACCCGGCCGGTTCACCAAAATTGAGACCCGAGCCCGGACCCGCCCTACCCCCCGGGCCTAGGCCTGACCCGGACCCGGACCCGAGAACCGGGCCGGTCCCGCACAGTAGCGGGCCGGTCCCGGTCCCGCACAGTAGCGGGCCGGGCCGGTCCACGGGCCGGGTGGCCCGACCCGAGTCCAACCATATTTACAAAGAAGCTTCCTGAACAAATGCAGTTATAAGCTTGTATCTATTGATCAGCAACTATAAATATTACTTGATGCTGAAAATGAAGTTAGTGGGAATATTCTCGCATCCGAATAAATGCCATTAAAAAATCAGTGCATTTTATATAAAGCAATATACTACTATTTATTTAATCAAAAAGCAAGAACTGGGGGTTGAATTTTCACAAACAGACTGGGAAAAAACACACATCATATCTGCTGAAGACATCCTTGCATCACCTTACTGGCCTGTTAAAAGCAAGGAAAGGCATTGTTAGTGGTTCCAATCAACGTCTACAGCAGATAGAAACGTAATTCATGTTTCTAGACAATTCATTTTTTTCTAATACAGGTCTTTAGCAAATGACCTGATGTAGTACTCTAGTAGGATGATTACAGTAATGATAGCAACTTAGAAAGTAGATATTTGGATATGCAAAATCAGAATTAAACCATTGCTGCAAGTGTTTGATGAGGCGAAAAACGAGCTAGCTTTTTTTATGAAACGGGCTAGCTTTTAATTTTTCAGGATATGCAGAGATACTAAGAGCATACTAATTGAAAGCATAACCACACACAGAAAAATGAAGCTCCCAATGATGCCCTAAAGACATAGGGGCAGAAAAATATCCAGATAAAAACATCCAGATGTTGAAACAAATAGAGGGGCATAAGGTACTTTAATGTTTTATGTTTATATTTTAGCAGTAGGGAGCTACTGTGAGAGGAATGGATCTCGCATTCTCGCAAGAAAGGAAACAACAACCCCCAATATTCAGTTAATCAATTTTACAATTCAGTACATCCGACCCCCCTTACCCAAACGTAGGTGGGAGCCTTTGCGACACTGGGGTAATGATGAAGATGATGAATGATGAAAGTCTAATTGCTTTTGGTTTGATGTCCTCGTATATGTTGAAATTTAATAATGATACCCTGCAGTAGCGCCAGAGCCAAGAATTTGATATAGAGAGAGTCAAAAATCAACAACTGATAACATATTTAAAAATAAAAGAATAACTCAAATACAAAATTAATAAATATTCAAATAGTAGTTATTGTTTAGCAATTATTAGAAACTCATCCGATTAACACGAATAAGTAATCAAAATAACACATCAAAACAGTAAACATATAAAATACAGTTGCAAAGTTAAGCAGTGAAGAAGTTTTAAATTTTTGTAGTGAATATTCACTCAAACTGTCAAATATTGTGATGTACATGGTCGAGAAGTTTTTCAGTCTGTACCCATCGTCTAGTAGCATAGCAACTTATTCTGCTGAAACTGATTTTGGCAACTGCCCAATAAGAGAATGATTACTTTAGCTTTTTATTCTGCTTTAGTTATTCAAAACTACTATTAAACACCCTTTCAGCTAATTTCAAACTCAATTGGCCATTTAAGCAAAAATAATTACCAAACACTTCCACTATATAAATTTTAGCAACTTCACCACTCACCAAAAAGGTGCCTAAGCTTTGGCTTGGGTCATAATTAGAGGGTACAATACCCGGATCCCGCTCATTTCCAACCGCTTCAAAAACAAATTACTCTTGAACGGAAGAAATATTTGAAGTATCAATGAAGTCATTTAAGTCTTGTCTATTTTATGTGCTTATAGTGTGCTTAAAAAACAAATGCAATGTTGTTTTTTCTCTTTTAGCTGTAGATTGTGTAGTGATACCTAATTAAATCGACAAAAATCAAAGAAAAACCCAGCATATTATTTTCAATCACATAATTTATATTAATACACTAATATGTTAAGAAAATCTATATATATCTATATAAAAACGGAAAAGTGTGGGGGAAGTTTGGGAGGGAATTTGGGCGGGATTAGCTCAATACGTTTGAAATGTTATATTGGTCATCTAAAGGATTAGCAAACAATAATGCAGTAATTATGACGGCTTGAGGCTGTTTATCTTCTCCATGAAAAGGTGTGTATGAATTTATGAAAGAATGTGTTTCACGTTGCTCAACATTTATGCATTGAATGTGCTATCACATTGTTCAACACGTGGACATTTAATGCTTCCTACCAAAATGTGGCTTTTCATATTCTAGCATAATGCTACCAGAATCTTTCTAATATAATTAAGAGCTAACTTTTCTACTCCTTACTGACATATAACGAAGCTGGCCAAACTGTTCATCCACAACAAAGCCCTGAGATCAACAGTTCTATAAAACCTTGCTTATACAAATAATTAGGGGTTCCACCTTTTTACAACTTCATCATTGCTTGCAGCCCAAAGAAATGGCTACAAAGAAGCAAAAACATGAAATCAACATTTCTGTAGGACGGTATAGAACCTTCAGATCTTTGCCTAACACAAACCATGATATTATTGTTCTCATAGTTATAGTAAGAAATCTGGTTTCTACACATGATTGGTGTTTAGATGTCCCAACTTTTGGTTTGTAGATTACTTCTTCAGACATGCATTGGGCATTAAGGTAAAATACACATGAAATCTATCACAGGTAAAGGTAAAATAAGATTCATACATTTAAACTTATAGAACTACTTTAATAATTTCAAATGTTTGTTTGTTATTATCAAAAACTATTACTGTGTCCATAGTTGTCGATGGCGCAATATGGCGCGCGCGCCATGCGCCATGAGGCGTGAAATACCCTATGCGCCATGAAAACGGGCTGTGGCGAGGTGTATACACATGGCGTTGCCATGTCTGCGCCTTCGCCATTCCTGCGCCTTCGCCATGGCGCTGCGACTGGTTTTTTAAAAAATGGGTCCACTTTTTGAGCTGTAAGTTGTGGAGTTTTGGGCCATAACAATCTATTTTAGCCCATAACAACAATAAAACTCTAACATAAACTTACTATTTTAGCCCATAATACTAACAACAACCCTAACTACAAATAAATAAACACAACAAAGTGATAACACGTGAGAAGTTAAAGCTGCTGCAACGGAAAAAAGCTCTGCGACAACCGAAAAGGCAAACGACAAGGGGGACTCTCGTTGACTACTTCCAACTACAAAAGGTACTACAACCTCTTTAATGCTGTGTATTAATGAAGAAAAGTTCAGTTTATAAGTTACAGTTTATCCAAAACTTTATATGAGTTGTAGCATTGTAAAATGAAGTTTTTACTTTAGAACTCAAAGTATTTAAACTGATAAATTGATACACTTTTATAAGTTAATTTAGTTTAAACTTTACAATTTAGACTTTAGTTCATTGATATTTTTGTTCTTAATTGTTATTATAAAGGTAACCGAAGAGGCAGAGCAAAGGATGTCTGTTGCCTTTGCTAAGGAGCTCTGTCAGAAAGTGAAAGAAAACAACAACAATGAATTGCGCTGCAACTACTGTGGGCACGTGACGAAAGGTGGAATTACAAGATTTAAACAACACTTGACCGGGAAGCACCGCAACACAACACAGTGTGAACGCATTCCCGCTGATAAGAAGGCTGAACTGCAGGCGTTAGTCTTGAAAGAATCTGCTGCTAACTTAGAAAAAAATGTGTGTGAACAAACCTTTCGAAGTACATACACAGTACAGCAGTCTGGTGGGTCAAGTGCAAATAGGGTGATTGGAGATGATGATGTTGAGATAACTGGTTCTCAGTCAAATGCAGAGGAAGGTCAATCTTGTTTTGAGTCGATTTATCGTCAAAGCTTTTGGAGGAGTGTTGCCTATGTTATGAAGATTTCATTGCCAGTAGTGAAGATATTGAGAATTACGGATGGAGAGTTGCCTCCAATGGGCTTTATTTATAAGGCTATGGAGAGAGCAAAATTGGGAATAAAAAACACATTGGGAGGTAAAGAAGAGAAATACATGCCTCTCTGGAAGATAATAGATAAGCGTTGGAATGAGAACCTGCATTCTCCATTACATGCAGCGGGGTATTATCTCAATCCTCAATTCTTCTACCCTAATTCACGGCAAATCCTCGGAGATGAAGAAGTATGAGATGGCTTTATAAAGTGTGTGGAGAAGATGTTGCCCACTAGCATTGGAGAGAGTGTAGAGTTCTCAACTGAGATATCAAACTATACAAATGGTAGAGGAAGTTTCGGAACTAAAATGGCAATGAAAAATAGGGACAAACAACCACCGGGTATGCAAACTGTAATCTGTCTTCTCTTTCTTATTTAAGTATTTTATTTACTTAAATTTGGTAATGAGGTAACCTACTGCCTACAAACTTATTTTAATTAACTTTCTGCTAGAACTAATTTTGTAGGTTTATAGATACTGGATTTAAACTTTCTGGAAACTGGAAAGTCCTAAACTGCAACCTACTATCCTACAACCTACTGTCTGGAATGGAAAGCTGAAATTTTAAATCCTGAAATCTGAGTATTGTTTTCTACATTATTAATTAGCATTTGGTTGGAATTTTTAAATATAGTTGACTGGTGGCTTTCAAATGGCTCCTCGTCTCCAACATTGCAACATCTTGCTGTTCGGATCCTTAGTTTAACTTGCAGTGCTTCTGGATGTGAACAAAACTGGAGTGCTTTTGAAAATGTGAGTTCATAAATCTGCCTTTCATATTTAATTCAACTATTTAAGTTATCCGTAGTTGATTTGTTATCTACTTGTTTTAGGTTCAAACCAAGAAAAGGACAAGGTTGCTGCCAAAAAAAATGAATGATTTGGTATACATTCGGCAGAATCAACGTCTTCAAGATCCAGCTTTCAAAAAAATGAAAGTATGTTTGGATGACATTGACGATTGCAATGAATGGATTGATGAAGCTGCTGAGCAAAATGACATGGAAAACTGGGATGTAGTGGAAGAAGTTGTTGGTGTTAATGAAGTAAATCACAACACAAGAGCAACAACATCAAGGGCATCAACACTTCAGCTGCACGACGAAGAGGAGACAGAGGAGGCGGAGGAAATGGAGGAAACAGACGAGGTTGCAGATCCCTCCGAGGATGAAATGAATGAGGATAGTGTGCCATTGCTATCAGATTCAGACCAAGATGATGAGGAGTCTGATGATTGATGATGATTATGCCATAATCATCAAACAAAAACAAGCTAACAAGCCTAAATCTTAACATATTTTGCATGACAGAAACTTTTTTTTTGAATATTATGTTTTTTGGAAGTACTTTGAACTATTTTATCATGTTTTGGTGGTTGGGTAAACTTGAGTTGATGAATTGCAGTATCTATTATTCGTTTTGAAGGTTTTTTTTGTCACGTGGCGACGCCATATTTGCGCCATCGCCATCGCCATCGCCATGGAAAATGGCCTGTGCACCATGGGTTGCGCCATGCGCCATGACAACTATGACTGTGTCAACTCGTGAATTGCTCTCTTATCGTCAAACACATTTTCTTTAGTTAAAACATACCGTTCTCATGAAAATTGTAGTTTAAACATATAAGAAACTAAAATGCGGAATGTATAAATCACATGCAGAATGTATAAATCACATTGAATATTCGAATGTAGAAATCACAGTAAATCCCAATAATCTTTTTATTTGTTGTTGTATTAAAGATTAATAATATCTCATTCTAAATTTTTATGTGCACATGACCGTACATATCACTCTAAATTTCACTGGTATTTTTCTTCCGCACAAGTGTGATATAATTAGCAATAAATCACCATGAATGTGAATTAGATTAAGCAGCATTAATAAATATCTAGATAAGTGGTTAAAATAATGCAATATGACGATTTTACTTTCCTTCTGTGTTTTTCTCAAATACTCCGTAAGACACTTATTGAACCACACTCTTTCTTTTGTCCTACTAATAAACCAGAGAAGAACTATCCAAATTAACTCCCAAACAAAGCAAAAAACATTACAGTCCTATCAAAACTCAATACCACAGTCTTAGTAATTGCATATATACCTCTTTGTGTTCTAAAAAATAAAAAATAAAATAGGGTTAATTATTTAAAGTTGATTCATTATGATCGAGTATGATGTAGTAATTAATCTTTTAATAAAAAACAGTAGTCACTTTATGAGCATCAACTTTGGTGTCAAAACAATCAAATAAGTAAAAATAAAAACAAAAGGCACAATAGAGAAGAATCTGTGTCAAAAATTAACAAAGATGTATAGTATCTTTATCTAGAAAAAAGGTTTCAAATTAATTTCAGTTTGATCATGTCGTAATATCAAAAAAGGTTTCAAATTAATTTCAGTTTGTTCATAATTTCCAAGTTAGAGTTGAGTTCTAATAAAAATTTAGCCAACATGTTAGCTTTAAGAAGGATTTGTGGCATTGTTGTTTTTGAATTGAAGTAAAAAAACAATCTTTCAGCATATCCCACATGCACATGCACATTTGAATCATGAAAGATGACTACTCTACATGCGTGCATATAACAGAAATGCAAAACTTTCCTTATTTTAAAAAACTCCACACCGCCATTCTCTTCTCTCTAGCTTTTATCTATTTTTGGGTTTGTATTCAGAAGAGAAATGTATTTCAAGAAAAAACTTCATTGAGATGCTTCCTTCATCCCTTTGTTAATATATTCCATGTCCCCATTACTATGCTTAAAACCAATTTCTGATATCTATCCTATGATGCTCACAATGCAAATTCAACAATAATTACTCATTAAATGTGTGTATAAGTCTTTGGGGTAAAATCTGTAATAAATACGGAGTATAAATTTGGATATACGAAATAGTTGGATAATCATCACAGTTTGTTTTTCACAAATCAATTCTAGTGTAATATGTTTTCTGAAGCAGCACGTTTAGATGCAAGCATTCCACATAATTAACAAGCAATTCCGGATCATATTACTCAAAGAATCACAATTTTTGAGTTCTTATATAATAAAATATAAATTTGAACGGAATTTTTTTCAAGCAAATGAATATGAAGTGTACGAACTAAATACATCTTTTTAAATGAAAAAGAAAGTATATTAAAGTACTTCAGAATTGCATGAAAAATAAATTAATTAAAGTCATTAAAATGTAGAACTTACCTATGAAAACTTTGTTGACGATTGGGCGTAGTAAAGGTGTTGAGAGTCGTCGGAGGCGTCGAATGTATATGATGACCGGTTGTCGGTGAGGACAACACAGTGGCGATCGGTCTATGAGCTTAATGGTGGCGACCGGCGAACATAGAGGGTGAAAGTGATGCCAAAAGAAGATGGAAAATGATGATCGGTTGACGCAGGGGCGAGTGCCAATGGCTATGGTTGTGGTCGAAGAAGATGTTGAGGCGGGTGTTGGTGAGACGATTACACCGTACAGATGCGGAGGTGAGGCGGTGGCTTTTGGGATGAGAATGTTACGCTAGGTTGGCGTGAAAGAAATTTGGGTTTGGAGAGTAATTCATGTACATTTTGGGCTTTGGATTGTGGACTTTTGGGCTGCATTTTGGTCTGGATTTGTCAATTATTAAAAATATTTTAAATAAAACATGGGTAGTATAGATATGAAATACATTCACATTAGATTGGAGTAAATTCAAGTAATGAATCAATACTAATAGTATTAATTCTAGCCATATAGAATTCTCCCCAGAGTGGTTATTACCAGATTAAGTAAACATGTTTTGGAAGCAAAAAATTTGACGGGATAAAGTGAAAGTGAAAATCTATGTTTAAAAAACTGACCCGATCAAGTCGGGTCAACCCGGACTGAAACTCGGTTCTGTTAGTTAAAACCCGGAAATGGTCAAAAACTGGAAAAATCGGTACAGACCCAGACCAGAAAACCCCGATTTGGATTGTCTTTTCCCCAAAAAAAACTTTTTAAAAAAAAAATTAAAGCATTTTAAACCAATAAATTACAATTTCAATACCCTAAAGAGAAATAATATGCAATATATTTATATACTATTTGTTTTTTTAACAATGAAAATCATATCAAATATGTGATCGGGTTGCTTTTCGGACTGGTTGTTTAACATAGGTTGAAAGGAGTTTTTTTTTTTGAAAGGAGGTGAAAAGGAGTTAAGAACAAGAATGTCCTTGAACTAGACGGTTTGAGGCTGTCTTTAAAGTTTCAAAGAACACAATTTCTTCTGATTGTCTAATATCCATTGACTCTAATATCGGTGGTTTGAAAATATTTATATGTCACAAAAATCGCAAAAGTATCAATGTAACAACAAATGTTGTATTTATGCAAGTATTTTGAAATTTGTAAAACATTTATAACTTTCATCCTTCAATATGCTTTTATTATTGTGGAAATCTTTTGTTTCTTAGATTTTGTTCTGTTCATTTATATTTACAATTATTACATTATGACAATCTAATTTATATGTGACAAATTATTAAATTACATGAATAATTCACATGGTTCAAAAACTTACTTTTTCATTAGAGTAATATATTTTCCCGTGCATCGCACGGGTAGAATACTAGTTAGTAACTAACAATCCATAACAATGCTTAATTTCAAATTTCACAAATGAAATCACACAATTAATCACTTATTCAAAAAATCGACAACAAATTCACACTTTACACAACTGTATTACGTAGTACTATAGTAGTAAGACGACAAATCAAAATATTAAATGAATTTGATAATATATATTCTGTATATTTTCTATAGTGACTTTGATGAATTTATTAGAAATTGAAAGATTACAACAACAACACTCTCAAAAGATATTGGGGTCGGCTAACATGAATCGATACATAAAATATTCAAAAAACATACCTAGCAGTGGTTTTATCCTAGGCAGGCTGCAGAATGGGAGACTAGCAAAGTGGCGGAGCAGGGAGCCGGGCAGCTGGCGGAGGCGGAGCAGGGCTGCACAGCATAAAACGCAGAGTCGCTAATCTTTTACTCTGTATATACCAGCAACCACCGGACCTATGTTTATTTTTATGGAAAAATTAGCAACAAACACTGATCCCAGCTTTCCTCACGAAATGTATGGGACTGTTTTGTGAGAAGGGCCTTCACCGTGCGCCCTGAAATGTACCTTAATTTTTTCAAAAATGGACAAATCTGTCCTGGGGATATTTACTTGAAGGTCACACACTTTTATTGATTCTTTTCATATTTTCATACTCTGTGTAACCTTATAGCTCGTTGGTTAACACCCAAATTTGTTGTATTGATTAATTTTAGGGAAATTTTCCGAAATAGTAGTAAAAATGTTTGAGAATTCCAAAATAGGAACGCCATGTTTTTATTTTCTAAATACGAGTAATTACTGCCTAGGAAGGATATAGCTTAGGCGTTCGGGGGGGGGGGGGGGGGGGGGGGGGATTTAATTAATAATGCGTGTTGCAAAAAAACATCTATTGTAACAACAAAATCAAAGACAAAAATAAATATTATAGGAATAAAAGTTTTCATTAAAGTCAAATTCAAAAACATCACAATTTTACAACTGTTCTCTACGGGTTTTACAACTGATCTCTACGGGATTACTAGTTACTACATGAATACTAATTAACTTAATAATTTGTTTATAAAAACAAATCACAATCAAATTCATACTACTAAAAATGATGCTTACAACTTTACAAGTAACAATCGAATTCATACTAAACAAGGTTGTAATTAGTCTTTTGGCAATCAAATTCATACTACACAAGGCTGTAATTTAGTTTTAAAATTGAATTAAATAATTAGATTAATAATAACAAACCACAAGCAAATCCATAATACTATAAATGATGGTTACAACTTTACAAGTAACAATCAAATTCATACTAAACAACCAAACAAGGCTGTAATTAGTCTTTTAAGTACTTTTAACAATCAAATCCATACTAAACACTAAAACAAGGCTGCAATTTAGTTTTTAAATCCCTTTCTTTTATAAGCATGAATATTGTTAGGGGTTTAATGGTCATGAAAAAATTGTTCGTGTCTCTTGATGCATTGGCCGATTGTACTCGATGTATATTTAGTCAAGCATATTGAGGTTATGGCAGACTAAAAGGAGACGGCGATCAGCTATGCCGTTAAACCCGAGTATGACTTCTGCAACTTAGCTTCACACGGGTTTGGGATAAACAAATACAGAGTACTACATAACTGCGCAATTAAACCTTCCTTTCCCTCTCGCCCTGATTCTGTCCGACCCTTCCTCTACTTCTTTTTCATTCACGGTCTTGCGCCTCAGCCATGGCCCATGGTTGTCAAACGGTTATTTCCTTTGGATACTGTCATCGATTATACGCCTAATCAGATTTGGCACCTGGTATTGAACAAATTTTAGATTTCTTCGCATCCTTTTGTAAGTTCATTACTCTCTCCTTGATTATGTTGCTTCTTTTATCTGTTTCTATTTTTCAATTTAAACTGCTATGTGTTTATGTTCCTTTATCATCCAAGCTTGCCATCCTTTCTCCTGTATTTCTTCACATCAGTGTGCTTATATTATTTGTTCATAGTTTGTATCCCTTTATTTTACTTCGCTTGCTACGAGTATGTGTTTGGTGAAATGTTCAAACGAAATCCTCTACTAACTAACTGTCTTTTACTTACAGTTGAAGGTTGTTTTGTTTGATTTTTCCTCTCCTTTTGGTTTGCTTACATGTGCTTAAATGTGCACATGGATTACATATGAAGCTGTAATCCTCCATCCTTTGAGACTATAGAGGAAGTTGGACAGAATCCAAAGACATTTTGTGCTAGCACTAAAGAAGAGATGCTTTGTTTCGGAGGAGGACGAGCCCTTATATCCGACATGATTGATGATAGTGTTCAGCTCGAGCAGTCTTTTAGGTATTATAATATAGAAGATAGTATATGTTATTGATTTTTTTGAAATCGTGTTTAACCTATCAGCAAGCCTCATTGTACTACCTCCTTCCCCAAACAACCTTGTTTCATGAAGGTGCATCTTTTTTGGTTTTGTTTAGGACAATTCTTGTAAATCATTTAAATTATTATTTGTTTGTTAAGAAAAAGCATACTTAACTTCTTTGAACACCTTTTTGTTCAATGATAATAATAACAATTACATAAGTTCAATAAACTTTTATGAAGTTTTGGAATAATATTTTGTTGGGACGAAGGTAAAAATTGGATTGTTTTGTTAATCTCTCACTATGTTTATAGGTGGTACACGTCCATGGCTGGATGAAAAGCCAACATGAAGGTTCTGATATCAAAGGTTTGGGAGGCTGAAGTGACTGTTGTGATGACGACCGAGTTTGGTCATTTGTCCCCCGACCAAGAAGCTAATACCTCACAACATTGTTGAAAAGAGTATTATGTTTTTCTTGCTTGAGGTAATTTTTTTCCAACTTCTGCATTGTTCTTAAGTATTTTGTCGCTGCGTATCTATCTCTCTGTATATGACCAGTTTTCTATAACTTTACAGATAAAAAATCTCATATACTTGATAGTTTATTCATGTTTCAGGGACTTCAATCTGGTGTAAGTGCCTTCAATTTGTTGAAATTAGTAGTCATTTTTCTATACCAATGGTGCATCATGTAAACTAAATGCCACCTCATTTAACATTGATGTATGCTTCGATATTTTTCTTTGAGGTCATCAATTAGTCATATACTTCTTCCAGCTAAATCACAAACTTTGTAATTAATAGATCATGTATTCCAAGGAACATCCTGATAACCGAATTTTTCTTTGAGCCCATTGAGACGCAGGCGAAGACCATGTTAACCGAATCAATGACCTGCACTTCTGTGTTTCAGTAATTCTGCTTGCAACCTTTAATAAAAACATGAGCCTTCATTAGTGTGTATTGTGTAGTTGCTTATGTATTCCATCCTTCCAGGTGTTGCAGCAAATACTAGGGACACTTTTAGTGAAAGGATCTTTGCAGAAGAAAAATACGAGTCAAGCATAGGTTTCTACTTCCACAATCCTATTTCAACAGCCTTTTAATCTTACAAAAATCATCACACAATCACATATGATAAATTTAGTTTGACAACATATTTTTGAGAAGAAGTTGGTTTTCTTGACTGTCGAAACAGTCGGCCAGTTTGTCCAATTGTGCTTAAGAAAATTTCAGAGGTTAGAGCTTCATTTTCTTGACTTGAAGTACAATGATGTTTTCTTATGAGAATTGAATAGATCAGAAAATACACCATAATACCATATAGCTGTTCCAAAGGGTCATGGCTTAACTTAGCTATGTTCCTTCTTTACTTCCTTGATTTAAGAAGTCAAAGATTGGTAAATTTCAATCTTCTAACTTGGTCCTAAATTGATGACTTTTAGCTGCTTCTGATCTATTTTAATGAGTTTGGACTGCTACTACTTTATTTGCTTTCTATGAATATTCTTCAAGAAAACGTGAAGAAGGTAACAAATAAGTTCTTTTACATACTTTTTTGATATGTTTATTAATTGT